TTAGCTGCTTGTGGACAGGTATAACATGGTCATCACTTGTGAGTGGCAATACAAGGATCGCGCATGCACATACGCGGGTAGTGACAGTTGGACAGCATGGACAGCAGAAACGCATCGCTCATGTTCATGTAAGGCAACCTCAGTAGATCAAAGCGCTTTGACTACGAATGCAACTTGAAAAGTGCAAAGAAGTGAGGCGTTTCATGACGCCTGCTATCTACAAATCTCACGTAAAGTGAAGAAATTACAGAATCCTTTGAAGTAATTATATGTTGATTTGCACAAACCATAAAAAATTTTCTCACTGGAAACTCTCATTTAAGTTTGAATTGGTTTGATTCTGTGAAGTGTACCAGAAGAGAAAATAGAAAATCACGACGATGGTGCTTTAAACAAATTGCCTAATTATTTCCTCCTGGGGACCGCCCTTTTGTACCGCGCGTGCATCCCGCCCACTCTCCTGCGCTTCTGATTGGGCGGGCTGGGAATACGCATGAGAGCTCCCAACGCCTCGCCGCCTTCCCCTATGGATAATTAGTCAGGCAAGCACGCCCTGGAGAAAACTATCCCTTCAGCGTCGATTTTTACTGCTTCCATTACTTGAGATCTTGAAAAGATCAAGAAGTGACTGAACTGAGGATGAATTGAATGTGGGTGGTGATAAGGGGGAGTAAGGCGTACCCACCCTACTAAAGATTTATAACCTGAATTCTCCTGTAGAATGCTATATTTGATACTATGTGTAAATCCCTTTCATTATTCTTGGCTTTCTATAAAATCAAAAGCGCTTTTGAGAGCAGTGATGAGCGAACTAGAACTTCGCACTGCCGAAATAATGCATCCCTTTAGGACTTGTCGAACTAATAACTTGTTTCAGGGGAAGACGTTGAACTCCTACTACGTCGCCGCTAGTCTTGCGCTGGTTGGTCGGTGAGTGCGTGCGGGGCAACTGAACGGTTCGGAAGGGCCTACACCCCTTTCCTCCAAATAATACAAATGACAATGAGCAGTAAAAGTGAAACTCTCTACGTCGTTCTAACAATGGAACAAAGATAGATTGTTGTAGTCTTATCATTGCCAACAATAAGCCCTTAAAGGAAAAAGCAATGTGTTACCTTGAGGGATTGTAATAGTATAGCTTCATGATACTTCCCTAAGGGGCCTCAACCTCTGGGTTACATCCCAGATCGCTGAGTGAGGTCTGCAATGCTGGGGCGAAATCTTCGCACCCGCGAGCTGCACCAATGATAGCCGCGCGGCGAGTTTTTGTTGACAGTCACAAGTAACGGCACTTATCCGTATATCATTACCCTAAGTCAAATGTTATGATTCAAGAAATGTTTCTCAAATGAAATTACTGTAGCATTGAGGGCTAAACATAGCAGCAACCCTATATACAGGGCAATTTTAGGTACAGGCGCGGCTGTCACCTGCGCTCCAGTGCCTTCAAACTACAGCATCGTCCCATTTGCGTATATTCCACCTCCCACTTGGCAAAAATTAGTGAGGGTGAGGTCTCTCTGCACTTTTTACTAGGAAGAAGTTGAGCAAGACTTTTGAGGATTTTCGAATCAGATTAAGATGTTCTGAAGAGCAAATCAATCAAACATGGCAGGTTCTTAATCACTTTCTGCGAATTTTTTTAGAATGAACTTCATGGCCTAGATCTAGTGATCTACTTTCAGATAGCCGAACTGTTCATTTGCAACGAAAGATGCATCCAAGCGGGAATAGGTTACATCCCAAGCCTCATCATGCTTCTATCTTTTTCAATAGCATTCATCAAAAACTGTTTAATATAAAAAAAAACAATAAAGCTGATGATCGTTATTCAGTTTCCGACATCGAAGCTTAGGTTGATGCTCCTTTCCTCAAGAAGCCTAGCACTTCGAGCCTCGTGCTGATACCCCTTTATAGATACGCATGCAATTGCCAATCGTTAGATCACCGATATACAGTCGATGCGACTAGCGATCCCCACTTAGTGCGATTAGACCCAAGTCCGCTGCGACCAGCTGTTGCCCGTCGCTGAAGTTGGCAACTGAACTCTTGATACGTATTGATTGTTGCGGGACTGCCACGAATCGGCACACCACGCATGATATGCCTGTCTACCCAATACG